TATATCTATCTATAATCTATCTATCTATCTCATGTCTATATCTATCTTATCTGTCTATCTATCTATCTATCTATCTATAATCTATCTATCTCATCTGTCTATATCTATCTATCTATCTGTCTATATCTATCTATCTCTAATCTATCTATCTCATCTATCTATATCTATCTATCTCATGTTTATATCTATTTCATCTCTCTATATCTCTCTATAATCTATCTATCTATCGCATGTCTATATCTATCTTATCTGTCTATCTATCTATCTATCTATAATCTATCTCATCTGTATATCTATCTATCCATCTCATGTCTCTCTCTCTCTCTCATCTATCTATCTATCTATCTATCTATCTATCTATCTATCTATCTATCTATCTATCTATCTATCTATTTTTCTATCTATCTCCTGTCTCTATCTATAATCTGTCTGTCTGTCTATCTACCTACCTACCTATCTCTATCTACCTAACTACATCTACCTACCTACCTACCTACCTACTACCTATCCATAACTATCTATCATCTATCCATCTACCCTCCATCTATCCTTTCTGTTTCTCTATCATTTTATCATTCTATCTCTATCCATCCATCCATCCAGCCATCTATCTAGCTATCCATCCATCCATCCATCCATCATCTAACAGGACTTCCAGATTCTGTAATGGCTTTGTTCCCTAGGCCATCCGTCTGGTAAACTCATAAGATTCGTTTTTCTCGCCATGTGCATGCATACATCCAAATTAAGACGGTGTTGTTCCTCTGTGTCATATAATATATGTGGGTATATTATTTATTTATTTATTTATTTATTTATTTATTTATTTATTCATGAATTTCATTTCATTTTGTCATGTTTATGTAGTGTATATTAGAGGTGGAGACCCTTTGAGAGCTGCATGCAACGAAATTTCATTTTAAGGTATGCCGATCAGTGCACATTCAAAGGGACAATAAAGTTATCTTAAGTCTAGAAGTGTTCATAAGTACATACAGCTTTTCTGAACGTACCCAGAGGTGGTATTCAGCCGGTTTTGGTGAACCGGTAGCGCCAACGATCAGTTGGCCCCGCCCACCCGCCTCCGCTCTATCCTGTCCTTTATTTCCTGCCTTGTAGCTCATCTCAATCGCTCGGCACAGCTGATTTCCACCCCCCCTTGCTGTTCTACTTACTGTTGCTGACTTGGAAGGTAAGCAGCTGAGCTTCTAAATCAGGGGTGAAATGCTTCCGGATTGCCCGAACCGGTAGCGTTTTTTCTCTGTGGTTCGGCGATCTGGTAGCGATCGCCGTCCGGGTGTCATTACTTCCTGGTTTTAACCAGGAAGTAATGTTTTTTTTACCTTCTGCACATGTGCAGGTGACATGCGCGCTTGTTTCTGAACCGGTAAGGAAGGTAAGTGGATTTCACCCCTGTTCTAAATGCTCCATTTTCAGCGCTGCGCATAAGCGCCTTAGGCGCGTATGTGCACTCACCGAACTGCTTGTTAAACAGGCAGCATCCCACCACTCAACGTACCCAATATTCCTACAGGGGTATTTAATCTTACCTTGGCTTGCTTTTCAGGAGCCAGCAAAGAGTAGAGAGGAAGAACGTAAAGTGGGTGGGAAGAATCCGGTTTTTCACCTGCGTTCAAATTATAAACAGAGAGGGGGGAAAAAATCTAAAGATTAGCCTGCTAGGTTATTAGTACTATCGTCTGTATTTTCAAGACACAGTAAGACTTAAAACTATTTGATCATTAACCTTACATGTTTTTGTTTGAATCGCTCGCCCGTGACTCCTCGAGAAATAAGGCAGTATAAAAATATAAATAAAAATATAACCAGTAAATAAATACTGTTTCAATATGTTTTTCAAAATCAGAGCTAAGAGGCAAGGGAAGAAGAAAAAGCAGCATGTATTTTTCTGGCAGCTTCATGAGAACTAGTCTCTTTGTGACTTTATTTAGGAAATGTATTGACCATAAATCTAACAGAGTGGTTACTTTAAAAAAAAGGGATACTCAAGCTTAAAAAAAGAGCTCCTGCTATTAAAGAAAGGCCAACGTCTTTGAGGAGGTGATATAATAAGGTGCTAACTTAACATTCGTGGTTTGTTGAATAAGCCAGGGTTTGTTTTCCTATGTTAACATGAAGGCAAGATCCGTCCATAAAATAGAAAAAAGAGAGGCTGCATCAGATGCTGCCTCGTCTTATTATGGCTCAATGGCTAAGACACTGAGCTTGTCGATCAGAAAGGTTGGCAGTTCAGCGGTTCGAATCCCTAGTACAGGTCTCCTGTTTGAGCAGGGGGTTGGACTAGATGACCTCCAAGGTCCCTTCCAACTCTGTTACTGTGGTTTGATCGGCTAACCGTGATTAAAAATCTCTCTGGTCTTCTGTGGAAACTCAGCCAACTTTCAAAGTGTTGTGGTCCGTCAGACTCGGACGATGAGGAGGTTGGGGAGGAACTTGGGCCAGTGCTGGAGTCTGGGGAAGGCTCTGATGGATTCTCTGCATCGGACACAGAGATAGAGCCAGAGCCGTCTGACATTTCCCAGCCACCGGAGAGGCAGCTGCCTTTGGAGGCTGAGATGAGTGAGGAGGAAGAACAGCTGGGGCCTGTTCCAGACACATGTATGCACAGAGCAGTTAGGAGAGGAGAACAATGGAGGACAAGGAGTCGACTCGGGAAGCAAAGCACAAGTGGACGCTGAATGGCCCCTCCCTGGCTGGGGAATAAATAGAAGGAAAGGGGAGTGGTTATCGTAGGAGACAACCGTTCGTATTTCTGATGATTTTGCTCATTGTGTTTCGTGCCAAAAAGACTGCTGGCCAGAACTTAATTTGCAGCCTTTCGGCTGGGAGCTCACGGCCTGGCAATTATCGCAAGGAACTGATAAGGTCTGTTACTGCAGTTAATTCCTTGCAGGACTCTTGCCTGGACTTTTCGGTGCATGAATGCCATTAATTCACAAGAGGTAAATAAAGAGGGTTTTTTCGTGACCAGGAGTCTGTTTCTTGCTTCTGCTAAGGCTGGGTCAGAACACAAAGGCTCGGAAAGCACAAACCTCCTTGCAGACAATCTTCGCCCAGATCAAGGTCAAGATCCGAACCAGCCGAGTTTGCTTCTTCATCGTCTTCCGCAGCCTCTCGGTCTTCGTCTCCTTCGTCAGTCGGCAGAATGGAATAATTGTCCAGATCAATTTTGGGCAGGGTCTAGAAAGAAAGAGGGGGGAAAAAAACAACAACTTCAAAGACTCGACATCCTTCTAGATTTAAAATTTAAAAGGCATTTGGGAGAATCTTAAGACCTGTTTGAGAAGTACGACAATATCCAATCATCTAAAGCAAGAAGATAAATCAGAGTCTTATTATTTAGTAGATAGAGGGTACTCAGGAGATGAATGTGCAAAACTAAGATATTTTGGGGGATTTTTTTTAAAAAGAAGGAGCAAATATAGGTTGTCCTCGACTTATAGCCATTTATTTAGTGACCAAAGTTATAACAGCAGTGAAAAAAGTGACTTATAATTGGCTCTTGCACATGTAACTTTTGCAGTGTATAAATAGTCACATGATCAAAATTTGGGCTTTGGCAACCAGCCTGCATTTATGACAGAGGCCGGAAAATTTAGCTTACTTGAAGCGCGTGCTTCTTTTTCTGTCTGGATTTCTTAAACCTTCTGATGGCTTCTACGGAATTGTCCTCATCTTCAGAGCCTACGAAGAGCAAAGCCACATTTTTCTCAATCAGGGCTACAAAATGTTAGTAGAACTTCCAGAAATCACCAGCTAGCATGGATGGACTTCAACTCCCAGAATTCCCCAGACCAACATATGGACTTTATCACCTAGAATTCCATGGACGGACTTCATCTCCCAGAATTCCTCAGCCAGCAAGGGTGAAATCAACTCCCAAATTTTTCCAGTCAGCACAGATGAACTAACTTCCAGAATTCCCCAGGCAACATGGATGGACTTCAACTCCCAGAATTCCCCAGCAAGTCCATCCATTCTGGCAGGGGAATTATGGGAGATGCAGCCCTCCCCTCTTAAAGTGGCCAGAGTGAATGATTCAAAAAGCCAATTTAAGAGAGTGATGAACAGGGCCAGAGCTTCCTGATGGGGTTCTCATATCACTGGCCATCAGGGTCACCTCAGAAAGGTGAAAGAATGGAGAAAATCAATTGTCCCAAGACTACAGCTAGTCCAAGACTTACAACAGTTCATTTAGTGACCGCTCGAAGTTACGTCACTGGAAAAAGAGATTTATGAGCGTTTTCACACTGATAATTGTTGCGGCATCCCCGTGGGTCACATAATTATAATTCGGATGTTTGGCAACTCGTATTTATAACGGTTGCATATTTATGACTCACATTTATGACTGCATATTTATCACTCGCAGTGTCCCGGGGTCATGTGATCCCATTTTGGGTGTTGTGGCCCGTCAGTGGCCTGTGCAGATTGTAGCTGATTCCGACAGCGAGGAGGCTGGTGTGGTGCTGCACCAGCAGCCTGTGCAGCTGACACTCGAGTCGGACAGCGAGGAGGCTGGAGAAGATGTGGTGCCAGAGGCGGGGATTCAGCCAGGGCCTTCAGAACCTCCAGAACCTCCCTTAAGTGAAGAGGATGAAGAGGAGGAGCCTCTTCTCGATGCACGGGCGCGCAGAGCTGCCAAAAGGCAGGAGTGGCTCTTGGGGGCGCGTGCATGCACGGGGGGCGCATGTGCAGGGGCCGCACGCGAATTGCACTTTGGGTGTTCGTGCACGTGCTTTGGGCACTCGGTCCGGAAAAGATTAGCCATCACTGCTCTAGATCACCAACCTCTCGGACCTCAGGGACCACTAAATTCATAATTTTAAATCCCGCGGACCATTAATATGATCTGCCTAATGACCAACTGGGTGGGCATGACTAGGTGGTCATGTGACTCGGTGGGCTTGGTCAACTTGATGTCACTCACATTGAGGGGCGCCTCACCGGCCTCTACTCGCCCCTCCCCTCCCAGCCACTCCTCGCCTCCCCACCTGGGCTCCTTAGGGCCCCAACAGGAAGCAGTTGTTGGAGCTAAGCAGCCACCACGAGAAAGAGTTGGCAAAACAGTTTAGTTCAAATTGGATCCGACCGAGAAGGAGGCTCAGCAGAAGTACCTCACTCAGGACTAGGAGCATAGGTTTTCCAAGCAGAGGGAAAACCTGCGGGAGTGCAAAGCCAGCTACCGGCGCCTGGAGGTTCTTCACCACCAGCGGCACTTCCCTCCAGCCTTCACCCAAAACCCCGTACCAGGGGACTGAAGCAGACCCCAAGTCGGAATTTCTGCCCCCCTCCGACCCGCACAAAAAAACCCCAAAGGGGGAGACTCTCTGCAGCAACACAAACGTTCATTGCACGTATCCGGCCCAGGGGCCGTAGTTTGAGGACCCCTGATTTAGTGTAATACAAAAAATGCAAATAATTTTTCTGCAGACCACCAAAATTTTCTCACGGACCACCAGTCGTTCACGGACCACCAGTTGGTGAACGCCGCTCTAGATGGCCCCAGGCTGCCCCCTTCCAGATCAGAGATGAAACGGCTGCGCTCTCAAGGATCAATTGCCCTTTTTTCCCCCGTTGCTGTTTGAGAAAGCCTTTAAAGAGGAGGACAACAACAGGAGTAAAATTTAAGAGCGCCAAACTTACCCGGGGTTGCGTTTTTGCAAAAAGGGAAAGACTTCCTTAGCCTCCGACAAAGAGAATGGACTTCGGCCTGTCCGGTTAAGAACACCAAAATGCCCCCTGCAAAAGAGAAGGAAGGAAGGACAGCATTTTAAACTGGACCACCCGAGAGAAAGTTGCAAAGAGCGTGTCATGCACCCCGTCGGGCGTCTGAATCTGCGGGGTGGGGGGTGGGGGGAAGATGAGCTGGAACAAGAACTGGCAGCGAGAGAGCGGGGGCAGCTCCGTTGGCCTTGGAGGAAACTGGGGAAGGGCTGAGTCGGTCCAGCCAAGGCTGTTCGGAATTAAGGCCTGCAGTCCGGGAGGAGAGACAGAGCTCAGACGAGGAGCAACAAACCCCCACTCCTGATGCAAGGGCTCGGAGAGTGCAGAGAAGGCATGATCAGTGCAGACGGAGTTGGCCATGCGCGAGGAGAGTGTCCCGCTCAGCTTCACCAGGCACACCTGGGGACTGAGACTTAAGGAGACACCGTAGGGAGGGGAATTGTCGGGAACAAACCCTGAGTTCCTGGAGTGTTGTGGGCCGGACGTTTGAACCTGCCAAGAGTCCTTGCATTCCTTGTTGGCATTCTAAAACTAATTATCTGGATCTTTTGCTCCCTGAACTCCTTGCTTGGCTCTTGTTTTGCCAGATACATTTGGGATTTATTGCTGTGCAGCCTTGGTGCAGACAGCGCTGGGCTGGATGAATCGCAGCCAGAGAGGCTGCTTGAGGTTTGTGTGGGGGCTTGTTCTCACTCTGCTCTGGGACTTGCCAGAAACATGGGAGCGTTTGGGGAGCTTTGGAGCAATAAAGGGGCGGTTTGAACTGCCAGCTGTTTGGGTTATCTCTGTGCCGTGCCCTGAGTCATCACAAGAGCGTAGAACATCCGTCTCTTCAAAAAATGAAAACCTCCTGCTCCTTTTGCAGAATATCGAAATGTTTAATTGCCGAAAGGCTTGGCTGGGGATGATGGGGGTAGGCATCCAGCTTGATGGGCCTGCTTTGGGGAAGAAGCAGAGAGATCTATGGGTAGCCAGAACTTTAAAGGGAATATTTGTAGTTCAGAGTTAAATTAAGGGATCCCTGGTGCTTGCTGGTTTGCCTGCAGACCTTTCATGACCCATCTAGGTAACATTATCAGTTTTAGAAGGGAATGGGGTGTGTGGAGAAGAGAAGGAAAAGGGGAGAAGGAGGACTGTAGGGTCCTTGGTGCTTTCAAGAGCTTGGCGATTTTCTTGCAGATGTTTCAAGACTCAACTAGGTAACATCATCAGTGGTAGCAGGGTGCAAACCCTACTTCTTTCTAGCACTGATGATGTTACCTAGCTGGGTAATGAAATGTCTGGAAAAAAATAACCAATTCTGGAGAGCACCAAGGACCCCTCGGTTGGAACTTTATTGCAACTCCATCAGGGAATTACACATTGCTGCTCTTAATTGAATTCTTTGTAAAATTAAATTGTATAGATATCTCCTCAAGCAACTGAGCGGTACTGGTGGCCTAGAGGTGGGGCTCTCGCCTCACAATCAGGAGGCTGTGAGTTTGATCCTAGGCTGAGGCAGATATTTCTCTCTCTGGGCACAATGAGAATATATCTGCCGAACAAAACTCCGCATTGGTGACAGGAAAGGCATCCGGCCAGTAAAACATTCTGCTAGCTCCATTCAGTTGCCCAGACTCCACCCCGCAAGGGATTATGGGGGTCGTTAAAAGATGATGATGATGATCTCTTCAGGCAATTGTTGTTGTTTTTTTCCCTTTTTACTCAGTCCTCTGACCTGGAGGAAGCATTCGGTGAATTTTGCAGACTTTCCGGAAACATTCCCCGCTGTAATCTTCCAACGGGGTCCTCTTGTTGAAATGAACGGTGACTGGAAACTGCCTCGCATCCACCTGACATAAAAAAGACCACAGGTAAAAAACCCCAAAAATCGAAAACAATGCTGAATTGCAAGAAGACAGCCAAACAATGCTCTGAACCCAGATTTAAATCGACATTATCAGAAGATTCTGGATTAAATTACCGCCCGGTTCGTTTTTGTGTTTGTTTTCCAGAATAAAGGCCTGCTGTTCGTTTTACGGTTCACGTCAATATGATCTATAATTATAATACAGGTAGTCCTCGACTTATGACCACAACGGAGCCCCGTGGATAAGCAAAACAGTGAAAAGAGCTTTGCCCCCTTTTAGCGCCTTTCCTGCCCTGGTCGTTAAGTTGAATCACTGCAGCTGTTTAACAGTGGAGTCACAAGGTTGTTAAGTGAATCACCGTTTCCCCGTTGACTTTGCTTGGCTGGTAGGTTGCAAAAGGGGACACTAGCAACCGTCATAAATAGGAGCATCCGAATTTCGATCACGGGGAAGCTGCAACGATCATCGATGTGAAAAACGGCCGTAAGTCCCACTTTTGCATGCCGTTATGGCTTTGAACGGTCACTAAACGAACCGTTGTAAGTCGAGGACTTCCTGCATAACACCTAGAAATATAAAATTCTCAGCCGCTAAACTCGACTTAATTTTTATCTTCACCAAACTACTGTTAGAACCCGGAAGGCTTTGGAATGAGACTGACAGAAAGAGAAGAGGCTGTACTTCCTGAGAATGCTCGGGAAGATAAATCTATCTGTGTTCTGCCCCAGCTACGGACCCCAAAGAACACAGCACACACAAAGTTTGTACAAAACTTAATTTACTAAAATAACTCAGTCTGTTTCAAAACAAAGGCTGTTAATAAACTTTCTTAACAGCCTACAAGAAACCAAAGATAAAGTAATCACAATCTTACGAAGGTTGGCAGAAAGCCCAGAAGCAATTTGCAGGGAATCCAGACGCAAAGGAGAATGAACTAAAAGTTGTTCCCTGCAAATTGCTTCAGTTGGCGTTCCTCCTTAAATAGGCTAAGGGAGTGGCCAATTAGCCCCAAGCCTTACTCTTGAAGAGACCTCCTCCTGAGGAGCCACTCCTGCCTTTTGGCAGCTCTGCACGCTCGTGCATCGAGAAGAGGCTCCTCCTCTTCTTCCTTTTCACTTATGGGAGCTTCTGAAGGCCCTGGCTGAATCCCTGCCTCTGGCACCACATCTTCTCCAGCCTCCTCATTGTCTGATTCAAGTGCCAGCTGCACAGGCTGCTGGCGCAGCACCACACCAGCCTCCTCGCTGTCAGAGTCAGCTACAATCCGCACAGGCCACTGACGGGCCACAACACTAAGCATCTCCTTCTGTCCTACTATCGCAGCACCATTGAGTGTGTCCTGACATATGGCATTCTTGCATGGTATGGGAGCAGCTCTGTTAGCGGACAAAAAAGCTCTACAGAGAATCATTAAAACTGCCCAGAATATCATCGGGCTCCAGCTACCAGCCCTGGACGACATCTTCAAATCTTGCTGTTTGAGGAAGTTGCATAACATTCTCAGAGACTCTTCCCATCTTGCTTACAATCTTTTTGGACTGTTGCCTTCTGGCAGAAGATACAGAACCATTAAAACTCGGACCACACGTCTTCTGAATAGTTTTTATCCCAGAGCTATAATTGCACTCAACCATGAACTAAAAGGGCCACCATCGGTGAGCTGTTGGACAGCATTACTTGGTCTGCTGTGTGGATGTTTGGATGGTTTTAGGGGTGGGGAATTTGTGGTGGGTGGGAGTGTGTTTGGAGATTGTTATGTGTGTTGGATCTGGTCTTTGGGTGTTCAGTGAATTTCGTTGTATGGGTATACTGTGTATACACGTACAATGACAATAAAGTTATTATTATCAAAAAGGGTTGTATTGAAGCAGAGATTGGATAGGAAGCCCGAACAAAATGTTCAAAAATCTCATTTATTTTTCCTAACCCCCCACCCCACCCCATTCCTTTTTCACCTGGATAACCGGAGGAGGAACAGGAAAAAGTTTTTGGTTAGCGGTGAAATCCTCGACTCGCAGCGTTGCAGACATGATGATCAGTTTCAGCGGCTGCCCTTTCTGACAAACGAAAGAGAAACAAAACGTTCAAAGGGTGGGTTTTCGTGAATTCAGAATTAAAAGATTTAGAAAGATTTTTGGGGGTAAGGGGGGAACAAGAGGAGGAAGGCAAGGTGTGCATGTAAAAGAAGCTTTTTGCCTTAAATCTGGCGAACAGTTTTAGCTGGCTTTTAGCTTGCTTGAAGGCAGGTGGTTTTTTTTTTTAGAATAACAGTTGGAAAGGGACATTGCAGGTCATCTAGTCCAACCCCCCGCCCAAGCAGGAGACCCTACACCATTTCTGAGAGATGGCCGTCCAGTCTCTTCTTGAAAGCTTCCAGTGATGAAGCTCCCAAAACTTCTGAAGGCAACTTCTGTTCCTTCGGTTGAGTGTTCTCACTGTCAATAAGGAAAATTTCTCCTTATTTCCAGGTTGAATCTCTCCTTGATCCGTTTCCATCCAATATTCCTTGTCTGGCCTTCAGGTGCTTTGGAGAATAGCTTGACCCCATTCCTCCTCTCTGTGGCAGCCCCTCAAATATTGGAAGACTGCTATCCTGTCTCCCCTGGTCCTTCTCTTCACTGGACTAGCCATGCCCGGTTCCTGCAAAAGCTCATCGTATGTTTTATCCTCCAGTCCCCTCATCATCCTGGTTGTTCTTCTCTGCACTCTTTCTAGAGTCTCAACATCTTGAGCTCGGCGTGGAAACACTGCGTACCTTGAATGAATCCCTTCTTTCGCCTTTACCTTAGCTCGAAGAGGCACGATGCGAGATAAAAGACCGATTAAGATGTCGGTATAGACGCTCCTCTCGTGGGCTTCGTCCAGAATTATGACGTGGTACTTGGATAACAAAAAATCCTGAAAAAAAAAAAGAGTTGGAAGTGTTTCAGTTCAGTTTGCCAGGCTCGTGAACTGGGATTCAGGAACGATGAGCGTCGGGCAACAATTACAGGTAGTCCTCAACTTACAATGGTTCATTTAGCGACTGGTTGGAGTTACGAAGGCGCTAGGAAAAAAATGGTCCTGGAACTTATGACTGTGTCAGTCATGTGATCCCAATTTAGGCACTTGGCAACGGTCATGTATTTATGACGGTTGCCCTGTCCTGGGGTCAAGTTTGACCAAAGATTGACATTTGCAATCTTTGCCAGCAAGCTTCTGACAAGCAAAGTCAACGGGCAAAGCTGGATTCACTTAATGGCCATTTGTGATTCACTGAACAACTGCGGTCATCTGTTTAACAACCATGCTAAAAAATAAAAATAAAAAAAAGGATGCAAAATTGGGTGTGACTCGCTTAACAACCCCCTGGCTTAGCAATGGAAATTCTGGCTCGAGTTGTGGTCATAAGTCGAGTACTACTTGCAATAGTATTGGAAATTTCAAGGCCTTTTAAGAAGAAATGAAAGAAATAATTCTGGGAGTTGAAATCTGCAAGTCTTAAGCTGGTGAGGGAATTCTGGGAGTTGAAGTCCCCATGTCTTAAGCTGGCTGAGGAATTTGAGACTACTTAAAGCAGGGGTCTCCAACCTTGGCAATTTAAGACTTGTGGACTTCAACTCCCAGAATTCCTGGTTGAGTAATTCTGGGAGTTGAAGTCTACAAGTCTTAAGTTGGCGGGGGAATTCTGGGAGTTGAAGTCCCCATGTCTTAAGATGGCTGAAGAATTCTGGGAGTTGAAATCTGCAAGTCTTAAACTGGCAGGGGAATTCTGGGAGTTGCTACAAGTCTTAAGCTGGTGGGGAAATTCTGGGACTTGAAGTCTGCAAGTCTTAAGCTGGCCGGGGAATTTTGGGAGTTGAAGTCCCCATGTCTTAAGTAGGTGGAGGAATTCTGGGAGTTGAAGTCTACAAGTCTTAAAAGTTGCCCAGGTTGGACAGCCCTGTGCTAAAGCGAGAAAATGTTCCACACGTATGTGCATTCTCCTAAAAATCAATTTCCACCCCACATTTCAAAAGAGGAAACTATAAAGCCCTCACCTTCTGGATTTCTTTCAACAGCACACCATCCGTCATGAACTTCATTTTTGTCTCCTTCGTCACGTTCCCCTCATAACGGATTTGGTAGGAAATCACACTGGGACAGAGAACATGGAAATCAAGCTGAGGTTGTCAGATTCCCCTCACAACACACAAAACTGAAATGACACCATTTAAACCCATCAAGTCAGGACTCCCATCTCACTGGATGTATTTAGGGCAAACGTAAACAGCAAATAAATGCTTAAAGAATGTTAGGCTCATGATCTGCAAATATCATCCACTTTCATTTTGGTAGCAGTCATTTCAAAACCTCAGAGAATGCATTTGATTGGATCGAGATAGTCAAAATACTAACAATAGCAATAGTCCTTAGACTTTTTTAAAAAAATAATTTTTATTGAATATTTTACATTTTTAAAACCAAAAACGTAATAGATAAAAAAAAAATGAAAAAAGAAAAAAAGAACATACACATATACCAAACAGTAAAATACAAAACATAAATAACAACATTATATAATATCTTACAACTTTCTGCATCGACAATTATCTTTACTTTAATTCAGTCTTCCTAATCATTCTCTTATTCTTGTGTAACCATGTTGAGCATTCTTATAAACTAAATTGTTATATATACTGACATCCTATTTATTAACATAATCAATAATCATAATCAATATTTTATCCTTACCAGTATTCAATACTGGTTCCCAAATAATCAAATTTCAATTTACAGTCTTTAGACTTATATACCGCTTCACAGTGCTCTACAGCCCTCTCTAAGCGGTTTACAGAGTCAGCCTATTGCCCCCAACAATCTGGGTCCTCATTTTACCCACCTCGGAAGAATGGAAAGCTGAGTCAATCTTGAGCCGGTCAGGATCGAACTGCCGGCAACTGGCAGTCAGCAGAAGTAGCCCGCAATACTACATTCTAGATGCCAGAACTTGCAATGTTTCTGTTTCAACAGAATTTTTTCCCACAATAATATCTGAAACCAGTATTAGAAAGAGGTCATCCTTACTGTTGGGATAAATTCATTTCTGTTGCAACTCGCTGAGACATAGATATTGCCGCCACACGCCGAGGTTCGGTAATCCCAATGATGCCGCCGGTGCTACAAACAGAATTGAGATGAGGTTTTAGTAAATTAGTTAATTTCTCGACCGTGGCAACTTTACAGTCTGTGGACTTCAACTCCCAGAATTCCCTAGCAGCCTGAGAAGACTTCACTTCGCAGGATTCCATAGGCAATACGGATAGATGTCAACTCCCAAGATTCTGGCTGATGAATTCTGGGAGCTGAAGTCTGTGCATTTTAAAGTTGGTAAGCTTAAAAAAACCCACTGGTTTAAATTTATTATTTGTACCAGAGCTTTGTGGAAATGAAGGTTTGAAGCCAAAGTATGTGTGAGGTATTGCTAATTGATGGTTGGAAACTAACCAAGGAGAGAAGAAACCTGGAATTAAGGAGAAACTTCCCAACAGTGAGGACAATTAACCAGTGGGAAAGCTTGTCACCAGAAATCGTGGGTGCTCCATCACTGGAGGTTTTTAAGAAGAGACTAGACAGCCACTTGTCTGAAATGGTATAAGGATCTGGGGGCTGGACTAGAAGACCTCCGAGGTCCCTTCCAGCTCTATTCTGATTCTGATTTTATTTTATTCTAGCAAGCACACAGATAATCCTTGATTTACAACAACTGAGCCCAAAATTTGCTAAGCCAGACATTTGCTAAGTGAGTTTTGCCTCTATTTTACCACCTTTCTTGCCCCAGTTATTAAGTGGAGCACTTAAGTTGTTGTTGTTTTTTTGCAAAAAGTTTTTTTTTTTCTTTTTTCCAACACACAAATTACATCTTTTCGGAACAGAGCCCTGATCTGGTCATCAATGTATACAGTTTCCCCCCCCCCCCATCTTTAACAAAATTTTGTATATTCTATTTTGCCATAACACTTATTTCTTAATCTTAACTCACCTATTCAATTAATACCATCTTTAAAAAAAATTAAATCAAATTTACTTAATCAAAACAATTACCCTTCCCTGGTGGCACAGTATTGGAAGAAAGAAGATCCACCTACTATTGAGGAATGGACACTAAAAGTCGCGCATTTGGCAGAGATGGCGAAAATCTCATCAAATCTTAAAAATCATTCAAACGAAGGATATATATCGGAATGGAGAAGATGGATTGACTATATTCAAAACAAGTATCAGACTAAAAAGTTTCATATAGCTTATGAATGAAATACTGTTAATCTTTAGTTTATGTTTACAGTGGTTTGAGTATAGGGAGTTAAAGACTTAGGGAGAATTTGAAGTCAACAAATTGTTAGCATATTTTAGTTTTATGTTTGTGAATGCTATACCCTGTGCTTGTTCTGGGAAGTCGAGGGCGGGGGGAGGGGGAAAGGGTGGGTGGTTGGGCAAGGGGGTGGGATGGGGGGAGGGTGGGATGGGGGGAGAAAATGTTTGTATCTTTTATAAAACATTTCAATTAAAAAAAAAAAAAACCAATTACCCTTCTATTAACCCCCCTGAGCACTGCAGTTGTTAAATTAGTAAAATAGTTGTGGAGTGAATCTGGCTTCTCCCAATGACTTTGCTTGTCAGAAGGTTGCAAAGGGGAGGGGTGGGGTGTCACATGATCCTGGGACAGTCATAAATATGAGTCAGTTGCCAAGCGTCCAATTTTGATCACATGACCATGGGGATGCTGCAACCGCCGTAAGTGTGAAAAATGGTCCTAAGTTACTTTTTCCAATGGCGCTGTAACTTCGAATGGTCACTAAATGAACTGTTATTAAGCTGAGCGCGACCTGTACGAGGGGCTGCCTTAGAAGCCCCCAAATTTGTACCTCGCGTAGCCTGCTTCATAGAGGAACTGAGGCACTTGGGTGGTTTTCCCGCAACCTGTTTCCCCGCATACGATGATGATAGGATTCTCCTGCACGGCTTCCATGACCACCTGCTCTTCTCCAAGTATGGGGAGTTTCAACCTGGCTTCCTTTGACAAACAAGAGAAACGGAGGGTATTTACAAACAATAAATTCTGTGGTAGCCCAAATTGTAAATTAAATTTCAACACGCATCCTTTTGGAGTTTTAAAACCGCTTGTGGTTGATATTCCCACCCTAAGAACCTCTTTCGTTGTAAGCTGCATGTCGCTTCACACTTCCCGGACCAGATGACTTAATTGCTTTTGGCTTAGCACCTGAGATTGATCTATCTATCTATCTATCTATCTATCTATCTATCTATCTATCTATCAGATATCACATCTATCTATCTATCTATCTATCTATCTATCTATCTATCTATCTATCTATCTATCAGATATCACATCTATCTATCTATCTATCTATCTATCTATCTATCTATCATCTATCTATCTACCTTCCTACCTACCTACCTACCTATCAGATATCACAGCTATCTATCTATCTATCTGTCTATCATCTACCTATCCCCCCGTTTTATTTATTTTATTTATATAACATTCAATTTCCATCAAACAGTGTATGATCTGGGTAGTTATTTTTAAACAGTCATAATCTACATATTTGTTGTAGTATTCATCACAATAATATTGATAATGTAACAATAATACTAAACATCATCTTCTTTAGCAGCTCTCCACATTAGCATTTCCTCTTATGTCTAACTTGTTTCTACTGTCTCGCCATTGATAAAATACATCCCATATCAAAACATATTCAGCTTCTTCTTTATCCTTAATAGTGAACGTTAATCTATCCATTTCTGCGCATTCTAATATTTTCTTAATTACCTTCTCATCTATTTATCTATCAATCTATCTATCTATCTATCTATCTATCTATCTATCTATGTTATAGCATCTGAGCTCTTATATGATATCTGATTTTATATAGATGGATGATAGATAGATCTCAGAGCTCAGGTATATATAACTGCGTGTCCAGCTGAAATTTGCTTGGTTAGCAAAATTGAATGAGACATGAGAACATTCTCTACGGATTGGATTCAAAACTGACCTGAATCTCAGGGGATCGATCCACTGGAACAAACACCGCAGGTTCAGATGTGGGTTTAGAGGTTGTGTTTCTCTGCTCAGGAGCTTTATCAAGTTCTTTGGGTAAAGAGAGTGGACATTTGGAGACCTTTCCGGATTCTGTCTCAGTGGTGGTGGTGGTGGAAGCTTCTGGGAGTGCCTTGTCAACCTGTTCTTCCTTCTCAGAATCCTCCTCTTCTTCTTCCTCCTCCTCTTCTTCTTCCTCTTCCTCCTCCAATTCAAGTCTGCCTCTTTTCCTATTGGCACCCCCAATGCTTCTGATTTTCTTTGACCACTCGGCACTTGCTTCCTGGACTGACCTGAAACACCAAGACTTCCACATTATCCCCCAAGCCAGGGGTGAAATCCAGCAGGTTCTGGACAACCGGTAGTGGAAATTTTAAATAGTTTGGAGAACTGGCAAATACCACCTCTGGCTGGCCCCAGAGTGGGGCGGGAATGGAGATTTTGCAATCTCCTTCCCCTGGAATGGGGTGAGAATGGAGATTTTGCAATCTCCTTCCCCTGGAGTGGGGTGGGAATGGAGATTTTGCAATCTCTTTCCCCTGGAGTGGGGTGGGAATGGAGATTTTGCAGGATCCTTCCCCTGGCGTGTGGGGAATAGGGATTTTGCAGGATCCTTCCCCTGGCGTGGGGTGGGAATGGAGATTTTGCAGGATCCTTCCCCCAGGAGTGGGGTGGGAATGGAGATTTTGCAGGATCCTTCCCCTGGCGTGGGGTGGGAATGGAGATTTTGCAGCATCCTTCCCCCAGAAGTGGGGAGGGAATAGAGATTTTGCAGGATCCTTCCCCTACCACGACCACCAAGCCACACCCACCGAACCGGCAGTAAAAAAATTTGAATTCCACCACTGCGGCCCAAGCACTGAAGAGATCCCAAGGAAGATGACTGATGCCCACTTGGATATCCACTCCCAGAATCCCCCAATCAGATAAATATTTTTTCTAACAATTCTGGAGGTGCACAGAAGGACTGGCTGCCCTCTCTGAACATCATCTACCACTCCCAAAGGCAGAGTATATGGGTGCAGAAACTCAAACGGGTGCAGAAAAGGCAGCATCAAACATACATCCATGTTGCACAAATAAAATGAGCCAATGAGCTTGACCCTTCCTTAAAGCAAACCCCACATCCCACTAGCACGGATTAGGTTGCTTAGTTGGGTAATGAAATGTCTGCAAGAAAACAGCCAAGCTCATAGAGCATCAAATATGCCACAGTTGTCGTCATCTCCCTCCCTCCCTCCTCCTCCTCCTCTCTGCAAACCCCACTCTCTTCTAGCACTGAAGATGTTACCTAGCTGGGTCATGAAACATCTGTAAGGAAACCACCGAGCTCAGAGAGCACCAAGGACCCCACAATCATCCTCCACCTCCTCTCCTCCTTCTCCACTCTACAAACCCCATTCCCCTTCTAGCGCTGATGATATTACCTAGTTGGGTAATGAAACGTCTGTAAGAAAATCACCAAGTTCAGAGAGCACCAAGGATCCTACAGTCCTCCTCCCTTCTCCTTCTCCATTCTGAAACCTCCACTCCCTTCTAGCACTGATGATGTTACCTAGCTGGGTCATGAAACATCTGTAAGACAACCACCAAACTCAGAGAGCACCAGTCCTCCTCTCTCCTCCTCCCTTCTCCTTTCTGAAAACTTCACTCCCTTCTAGCACTGATGATGTTACCTAGCTGGGTCATGAAACGTCTGCAAGACCACCACCAAGCTCAGAGACCGCCAGGGACCCCTCACACTTCCTTATCTTACCTTTTCGCCTGGAACATCCGTTTTCCTGTTCCGAGCTTGGACGTGGTATAGAGAAGCTTCATTTCGGCCTCAGGCACCTGGACTTCGCTCAGCTTTTTCAGCAATTCCGCTCGCTGGAATTTCAAACACAACCCAACAGAACAGACCAGGTGAGCCGAGAATGAGGGTGACGTCTCCTGCCCTCCCGGCATCACCATATTCAATCGAGCGTGGGGGTTTCCCTGAAATCAAACACCCACCTTTTCCTTCTTGGCTTTTTGTTCCAAAACCTTTTGCAAATTCTTCTTCTGCTTCTTTGTCAGGGGCTTCTTTCCTGGACTTTTAAGGGAGGTTGCTGGTTTCTCCTGGGTTTTTCGGGACGGAAGGACGAGGGCGTTGCTCTCATCCACTCCTTTCAAGATGGTTTCATCTAGAAGGGGGGGGGGAGACAGAGAAAAGAGAACCTCACCAGGTCAAATTGCATCCTACTTTGCTACTCCACCTCCATGTGAAGTTCACTTTGAAATAAGTTTCATGAATTCAAAGTCAAAATAGCACGTATAGGAACAGGTGCCTTGGGTGCAATCCCAAAATAGTTGGAACATCACTTGATCATCATTCAGCATTCACAAAATCCCTGTCAGTCGAATAGGATAGGATAGGATAGGATAGGATAGGATAGAATAGAATAGAATAGAATAGAATAGAATAGAATAGAATAGAATAGAATAGAATAACAAAGTTGGAAGGGACCTTGGAGGTCTTCTAGTTAAACCCTCTACTCAGGCAGGAAACTCTATGCCATATCAGACAAATGATTGTCCAATCTCTTTTTAAAAACTTCCAGTGTCGAAGAAGAGCCTTGGTGGTGCAGCAGACTAAAGCATGTTAAGATAACATCAGCTGCCTGCAATTATTAAAAGTTCAAATCTCACCAGGCTCAAGGTTGACTCAGCCTTCCATCCTTTCGAAGGTAAGTAAAATGAGGAGCCGGTTTGGGGGGGCAATAAGCTGACTTTGTATAAAAAAAGAACACCGCTTGGAGGGGGGGGGCGAAAGCCCTACTAAGCAGGTATATACAAAAGTATGAAGGCTATTGCTTAACGCATTGTAAGCCGCCCTGAGTCTCCGGAAAAGGGCGGCATATAAATCGAATAAATAGATAGATAGATAGATAGATAGATAGATAGATAGATAGATAAATATAAAATAAACTCACAACTTCTGCAGGCTGATTAGTTCCACTGATTAATTGTTCTAACTGTCAGGAAATTTCTTAGTTCTAAGTTGCTTCTCTCCTGGATTAGTTTCCACCCATTGCTTCTTGTCCTGCCCTCAGGTGCTTTGGAGAATAGCTTGACTCCCTCTTCTTTGGGGCAGCCCCTGAGATATTGGAACACTGCTATTGTGTCTCCCCTGGTCCTTCTTTTCATTCAACTAGACGTACCCAGTTTCTGCAACCGTTCTTCATATGTTTTAGCCTCCCGTCTCCTAATCATCTTGGTTGCTCTTCTCTGCACTCTTTCTAGAGTCTCAACATCTTTTTTACATCGTGGCGACCAAAACTGGATACAGGATTCCAAGTGTGGCCTTACCAAGGCATTATGAAGTGGCATTAACACTTCACGTGATCTTGATTCTATCCCTCTGTTGATGCAGCCTAGAACTGTGTTGGCTTTTTTGGCAGCTGCTGCACACGGCTGGCCCCTATTTAAATGGTTGTCCACTAGGACTCCAAGATCCCTCTCAAAAGGCAGCTTTACTTGGCATTGCTTACATCCTTTGACAATGATACCTTTAATACCACCAAACAGCCACATTGGCCCATTTTAGCTTTTCGGGAAGGACTTGATAGGTGGACAAAAATGCCAAATCCACTATAAACATCTGGCTGACTGTTGGGGGAGAAAAGACAAAAAGGGGAGAGTTTATATTGGCTGCCTTGCATTATTTATAAAATAATAAGGCAGGATAAAAAATAAATCATTTTTTTTTAAAAAAAAAGGTATTCAATTTAGAGATAACATTAATTTGCTTTTGAGATGGATGTGGAATTTGAATGAGAGCCAGTTTTAGTCGAGTGGCTAAGGCACAAGGTCAGATAGTGGAAGATCCTGAGTTCAAGTCCTGCCTTAGCCTGAAAATCAGTTGGGTGGGCGACTTTGGGGCCAATCTCTCTTTCTTAGCCCAACCTACCTCAGAGGGTTGTTGTGGAGAAAAATAGGATGAGGAAGGAGTTATTGATAAAATAATAAGGCAGGATTAAACAAAAAAAATCAAATATACATTTTAAAAAAATATAGTCCACTTAGAGATAATGTTATAAAAAATATAGTCCACTTAGAGATAATTTGCTTTTGAGATGGATGTGGAATTTGAAGGAGAGCCAGTTTTAGTCTAGTGGCTAAAGCATGAGGTTAGAAAGTGGGAGATCCTGAGTTCAAGTCCTCCCTTAGCCTTGGTCAAGCTTATTTTCCAAAGCACCTGAAGGCCAGGGAAGGAACAATGGGTAGAAACTGAACAAGGAAAGATTCAACCTGGAAATAAGGAGAAATTTTCTGACAATTTTCTGATCTCCATTGAGATCAATCAACCAATGGAACAGAAGTTGCCTTTGGAAGTTCTGGGAGCTTCATCACTGGAGGCTTTCAAGAAGAGACTGGACTGCCATCTGTCAGAAATGGTGTATAGGGTCTCCTGTTTGGGTGGGGGGTTGGACTAGATGACCTCCAAGGTCCCTCCCAACTCTGTTAATCTGAATCTATCTAAAATTATCAAAGGTCTGGAGACTAAAACATGAAGAATGGTTGCAGGAACTGGGTACAGCTAGTCTAGTGAAGAGAAGAGAAGGACCAGGGGAGATAGGATAGCATCTTCCAATATTTGAGGGGCTGCCACAGAGAGGAGGAAGGGAGTCAGGCTATTTTCCAAATCACCTGAAGGCCAGACAAGGAACAATGGATGGAAACTGAACAAGGAGAGATTCAACCTGGAAATAAGGAGGAATTTTCTGACAGTGAGAACAATCAACCGATGGAACAGAAGTTGCCTTCGGAAGTTGTGGGAGCTTCATCATTTGAGACTTTCAAGAAGAGACTGGACTGCCATCTGTCAGAAATGGTGTAGACTTTCCTGCATGAGGGGGGGGTTGGACTAGATGACCTCTGAAGTCCCTTCCAACTCTGTTAATCTGTTAAAATTATGCATGTTTTCCCCCTTGAGTTATTTAGAACAATGATTGAAGGCGGGGTATCCAAAAAAATTAAAATAAATAAACAGTGTTTAAAGATAGGAACAAGCTAGCCCTGGAATAGACTTTATTTTGATCTTTGGAGCCTGCCCCTCCCTCCCTAACCCAGTATAGCCTACCTCGCAAGGTTGTTGTTATAAGGAAAGCAGGAGGCTGGAATACCATTGAGTTCTGTATCCCCCCCCCCAAAAAAAGGGGGATTTAAAAATATAATGATAACAATAAAGATGATGATGATGATGATGATAATAATGATAATGATAATGATAATAATAATAATAATAATAATAATAATAATAATATAAATATTCACCTCCCAGTTCCAGCTGCACAGGCTCCTGGGGAGCGGGACCCCCCCTCCTGGGCGATCCTGGCAGCCGTGCCCGCCAATTGCGCCTCTTTTGCGCCTTCCCCATTGAGGCGCGCATCAACACAGCCTTTCCAAGCCCACGTGGATCCCGGGAGGCAAACACTTCCGCCTTCTGACGTCTCGTCTCGCGAGAACTCGCCCCGCCCCGCTCCGCCCAACCCAGACTCTATGGTACTTTTTAAAAGAAGTCCGTTCGAAGGAGGAGGAGGAGGAGCTTTCAAGAGTTCTCGAGCGGGTGGGAGGCAAAACGCGGCGGGGAATCCAGGGATAGCGGAACGGGACGAGCAGGGCGATGCTGATGATAATCCTAAAGCTGTGGTTTTGTTTTAATTAAGATTATTAATTAATTAATAAAATCAAACCACTTTATGATGCGTGGAGGTGAGGTCTCTCTGGTACCTTTTTCCTTTCCTTTGCACTGAGTTTAAGTGGTTTCCCCCCCCCCTTTTTTGGCAACAAAATCAGGATTCTGCATTCAGAGTCCAAGAAAGAAAGAAGAAAGAGAGAAAGAAAGAAAGAAAGAAAAAGAAAGAGACAGAAAGAAAGAAAGAGAGGGAGAGAGAAGAAAGAAAAAAGAAAGAGAGGGAAAGAGAGGAGAGAGGGAGGGAGAGAAAGAAAGAAAGAGAGGGAGAAAAGAAAGAAAGAAAAAGAGAGAAAGAAAGAGACAGAAAGAGAAAGAAAGAAAGAGAGGGAGAGAGAAGAAAGAAAGAAAAAGAAAGAGAGAGGGAAAGAAAGAGAGGAGAGAGGGAGGGAGAGAAAGAAAGAATGAGAGAGAGAAAGAAAGAAAGAGAAAGAGAAAGAAAGAGACAGAAAGAGAAAGAAAGAAAGAAAGAGGGAGAGAGAAGAAAGAAAGAAAAAGAAAGAGAGAGGGAAAGAAAGAGAGGAGAGAGGGGAGGGAGAGAAAGAAAGAAAGAGAGGGAGAGAGAAAGAAAGAAAGAGGGAGAGAGAAGAAAGAGGAAGAGAAAGAGAGAGAGGAAGAGAAAGAGAGGGAGAGAAGAAAGAAAAAGAAAGAGAAGAATGGAAGAGAAAGAGAGAGAGAGAGGGACAGAAGAAAGAAAAAGAAAGGAAGGAAGGAAGGAAGGAAGGAAGGAAGGAAGAGGCATTAAAATCTTCCATCAGCTCCAGATGATAAATCAATAAAAAGTCTCTTTGGAATTTTTTTAGCATGGAGGAGTACATGAAGTCACCGAAAGTTTCAAATCTGCATCCCACAAGCTCAGGATGCAAAGCCAGGTTCAAATTGTGTGTTTCTGTTGCCAAGAACCATGGATTAAGAAAGCTTTATATATTTTCACTAAAGAAGAAGGCAGGACAAGGCGGGATAATAAGAAATATCATCTAATAAACATTTTAGTAATAATTCTACAATTTGTTCTATTGGTCTCTAGCTGTCCCTATTCCTAAGCTTTGGCTAATGAATGCCCCAGGAGTTATCTAATACACATTTTATTGGCTGCAGACCATCTTTATTCCTAATTTTTAGCTGAGGTCTGCAAATTGTCTAACTCTTGTTACTTTTATCAGCTTTCTAACTACCCAAAATTGTTACAAGATTTACACATGCATATTTCCTCCCGTTTTTGTGTGTGTGTGTGTATGTGCGCGCGCGCGCCTCGCAACCAGGAGGCTGTGAGTTCGATCCTAGGTAGAGGCAGATATTTCTCTCTCTGGGCACGATGAAAATAAATCTGCTGAACAAAACTCCGCATTGGCGACAGGAAAGGCATCCGGCCAGTAAAACACTCTGCTAGTTCCATTCAGTTGTCCAGACTCCACCCTGCAAGGGATCATGGGGTCGTTAAATGAAGATGAGAAGAGAGGGAGAGGGAGAGAGAGAGGAAGAAAGACACAGAGAGAGAGACGGAAAGAGAGAGAGAAAGAAATTGAAAGAAAGAGACAGAGAGAGAGCGAGAAAGAAAGAGAGAAGAAAGACAGAGACAGAAAGAGAGAGAGAGAGGAAGAAAGACAGAGACAAAGACAGAGAGACAGAGACAGAGAGGGAGGGAGCGAGCAATGAAGTTACCACTGCAAAAGTTACAGTAAACATTTAAGATTTATTTGGTCACCACACCATAATTCAGTTGTGACATCAGTCTACAAACAATTCACTATGTAAAAGTACATAGGTCTTGGTGGTCAGATAATAAATAAAGGCGTGGATGAACGTTTTCCCCAAATCTTCACAGTTATTCAACAGCATCATTCACAGAACTAAGGTTTTATTAAGATCATTGATTAAAAGGAGGCCCACGACACTTCCTTCTCACCAAAATCTTTTTTTTCTTAAACAAAACACATAATTTTGCCATACAGACTTTTTTTTTTTTTTAAAAAAAACCTAATACTTAGGAGATCAAATGTCCAGGTAGGATAATCAATCACTATACTCAGTGCAGATAAAACAGTTATGATCCAGGGATATCTATCTATCTATATATAGATACTATATATTTCTGCTTTTACAACATGAAATTTTTTAAACATGGCACTTGGCAACAAGGATCCAAGGAATCAAGGAAGCGATTTTAAGTTTCATGCAAAACATAAGAAAGATTAAAGATCTTTAAAAGAAGGAGAAGATAAGAGAAGAATCTTAGCTGCAAAATACAAATTAACAGGCACGAAAACACATGTCACCTTCATCAACAGAAGAAAAAGAGATAATCTACAGCCAACAAATAAAGACAAAGCAGCTTTGGGAAAAAAACCCCAAACCCTAATTATATCCCAAAAGGCAAAAGTATGACATTATCTTAGCACACATTTGCACACAATATTCCAAAACCCAAAACAACTTTAAAAAAGCACATTAAATTCAGTAGTTCTGCTCTATTTCTTGGTCAGGCTGATGTGCCTCAATCGATCACAATAATTGCACAGATGTTCACCACATATGTCTACACGACACTCTGATTTTAACACAAGACTGGAATTCTCGGTTGGGAGAAAAAAATTTCCCTTGAGCTGCCATCATTGTAATATCCCAACAAGATGGGGGTTTGTTAAGTTGTTTTGAATGATTAATAAACGAAAATCGGTCTATTTATTGAATGAAAACCACCCTAGGAATGTAAAAATCTTGGCAAAGTGGAATTTTAGCACGTCTAATACCTCTTAACTATACAAAAGAGGATTAGCTTTGTATATTCTTGCATTATTTAAGAATGCAATGCATGCTTTGGCATCCAGTATTTTGCTTCCACTAGTATCAACTATGGGTAGTTCTAACCAGAATTATACCTAGGATCTGAAGGACAATCCAAGTTAGAATTAACCAAGGTCGGCTGACGTTGCAATTAAGGGGGAAAAAAATACTTACCGGTATTTGCTGAGGTTGTAACAGTAAACTGGCACACATTGCAAAACTGTTTTTCCAAACAACAGTTCAAATCCAATCTTAATTCAGGCTGGGGGAAAAAAAAAACCTGGTACCAATTTGAAAACTGATGTAAGGTTTATAAGAAAAGAATCGCAGCTGGTTAGTTTAAACATTTCACCTCTCTTTCCCTGAATTGACAAATCAAATTAAATACCTTACTGGCTGCCCATGGCCAACCACAGCCATCAATAATTAACTGCAATGCTTAATTTTTCTCCCTGAACCTATATATTCAATAAATATATACCAATACCTGTTTTTTTTTTTTTTAACAAAGCAGGGTATTTTCTAGATGAGCAAAGGTGAAAAAATACCACAATGGTTCTATCCAGAAGAGAAGTGAACAGTAACAAGAAGAAAAATAAAGCAGAAAAAAAATCCATCCACATTTGTATTTTTAATAGAATAAGGGGAAAAAATAACTTAAGGTCATCTTCACTTTCAAAACTCTGCAAGGAAATGGCAAGAAGAGTCTATTTCAAGTACAATAATTTGTGCTCCTGTTTAATTTACATAAAAGAGAATTTTTCTTAGCCAAATCTGCACCAAGGCAGCGGGGGCAATATATATATATATATATATATTCTTTTTTCAACTATAGCCTTATACCGAACAAAATGCTGTGTATATCAAATCTATTTATACATATACATCTATATACTTTTTACTAGTTCCTGCATTGCCACTTAACGGGAAAGTTGATTTAAAGGAGGGAATTCATTTTAACCAACGTTCTCTCGATTTCAAGTTGCCTTTTCTTTTATTCTGCAAGAATAAAGATCGCGGATCTTTATTCGATTTGAAGAATTCGATCGCGGAAGAAAAGCGGCGGTTTTGTGTTTTCTGGAGCCTTCATTTGGGAACAATTGTGGGAATCGGTGGCAACCTTCAAAAATGTTGTTTTTTCTAGAAGGAAGGAGACATTTACCAACTCACTATATATATATATATATATCTAGACACACACACACATCATTGAGTGTCATCCGGGCAAAATAATTGCCCACTTCCACAAGCACGCAAGAAAAGAGGCATCACGAGGCCAGGAAATGCTAACTATTCCTGCAGCTTCCAGTTTTCCCAGGAAATGACTGGCTGTGGAATAGGTCTTCAAACAAAAAAGAATTGTGTGTTTTTTGAGGTTAGAAACACGTGGGAAACAATGTTAATTGCTCTGAAACTGACCCTGACAGTTTACTACTTTGTGGGTACCATTTACACCCTGAACCTCAAATGGTCATTTGGGCAATTTTCATGGAATACCAAATTAGCCACTCTGCTTTTTTAAGGATTGAACCCAATCGTCTCCTCCGTATTATCTATTGTGGGGAGGGGCGGGGGGAAAGATTTTGGATAGATGAATGAAGCACAGATCCTTCTGAAGTTGATGATGTTATGGAATTTATTGCCACGTTAATCCTGAGAAAGATTCCCGTATCCCACCTTTTCTTCTTTTTCTTCTTCTTTTTTTACAATCCTTTTTTAATCTGTCGCCGATCGTGATTGGGGTGTTTTAAAAACGAGTCAAGCTGTGGCTGCTTGGGGTCATTTCTGCCTTTCTCTCTTTTTTTTCAGGCAACGCGTCAATTCGATAGAAATGTAACTTCCATTCTGAAAAGCCAACTTCTCTTCTGCCGTTATGCACACAAAGTTGTTCTCCACAGCTCATATTATCTGACTGACACTCAATTGTTTTTCTCAAGGTCTTTTGCTCAAGTTGTGCCAAGGAAGAAGATGAGCCAACGTGGATAGGCAGAAGATTTTAGCAGGAGAGGTTTTGGAGAAGGGGCTCACCTATTTATGGGAAGGTAGACTGGTTTTTTTTTTGTGTGTGTTTCTGTATAGGCTAAAGAAAGGGCCTGTTTTTAATAAAACTGATTGGAGAAAAAAAAAAATACAGAAGCAGTTTTGATGCTTCTGGTTGATCTCCGAAGGACGCAACATCTTGCTTTCAAAATTCAGGGTGAACCATATTGGGATCTTGACGCAAATAATTTATTTTTTTCCTTCGCAATTATATGAAAAAGACAAGACAAAATGAGGCACAAAATGAAATGATCACCGAAGGCAAGATGGGAAAAAAAAGAAGGAAAGGAAAACCGATCCTCACAATTGTGATCCTCACAAAAATTCCTTGTTGAATTCTTCATGCTTCCTTCCTTCTTTCCGATGGTAAAATCGGCATCCGGTTTCAGAGAATTTTCTTGTTTGAAACGAAACAACGACTCCATCGGCCTTTATCAAATCTCCCTCCCTCCCTCTTATTTTTTTTTCTTTTCTTTTTTCTTTTTTTTTTTTTTATAAAAAAAATTTTTTTTTGTTTCAAACGCTTGGAAAACAGCAGATAAAATTCTACTCGTAGACGAACATCTCTGAACGTACAGCTAATCTATCTTACTGTTCGTTCGTGTTTCGTTCACGGTATGGACGGACAAGCTACGCGCGAAGACTAACGGCTGAATGGTGCACATGTCCTTTACCCCAACATCCGCTTCGTCGTAGATGAGATGTGGCGATTGCCCGTCTCCCGCGCCGAAGGGTGACGCTCCCGTTAGTCGCCTCCTCGGTCCAGATTCTCGATCACGCGAGACAGACGGATGTTCAGAAGCCTGATCTGGCTATCTAGGTGGTCGATCTTCTCCTCCAAGGTATTGTGGCTATTCCTTCGCCAGTAGAAGCTCACGGGCCCCGTCATGAAGTAGACGGCAACCACGAAGCAGAGGGGAAGGACGGCGTGTTCAGGCTCGCTCTCGTATTTCTGCAGGATGTAGACGCAGGACAGAGCGAAGAGGACGATACGGATGATCCAGAAGAAACGGCCGCATAGGATGTGCAAGAGATAGAAGAAGAATCCGAGGAGAAGAGACACGAACCAATAAGCCAACAAGATGGCGCCGATCAGCAAAAGGGCCCGAGCGGGATTGTTGGCGAGGGCGGTGTGGCTGAAATAATGGGTCAGGTTGGATCCTGGAAAAAAAAAATTCAAAGCAGAAAATGTCAACGTTCACTCCGCTGACATAGGAAACAAGCATAAAAAAATGGAATACCCCCCCCACCCCCGTTCATCAGATTTTACAACTGTATTATAGGTAGTTCTTAATGTGACTGGCAGGGTGGCCTAGAGGTGGAGCTTTCGCAGGCAGATATTTCTCTCTCCGGGCACACTGAGAATATATCTGCTGAACAAAACTCTGCATTAGTGACAGGAAGGGCATCCGGCCATTCAAACACTCTGCTAACTCCATTCAGTTGCCCAGACTCCACCCTGCAAGGGATTATGGGGTCGTTAAAAGAGGTGGAGCTCATATATATATATATATATATATGTAGGTCTTTGGTTATTCGGGTCTTCTCCCATGTAAAATTGGAAGTGTCTTGGCGACGTTTCCACGAAGTCTCATTCGTCATCTTCAGGCTGGTGTTCTCGGCTTCGTGCTTCCAGGAGCAATGTGAGATCGCAGCTGTCTCTTCCTTTTAACTGCTAGTGGAGGTGTGAGCTGATTGGGTGGGAACTTGGCTGTGTTCTGATTGGGTGGAGGTGTGTTCTGATTGGTTAGGGGCTTGATTTATTTATTTATTTATTTATTTATTTATTTATTTATTTATTTATTATATTTCTATACCGCCTTTCTCCCGTAGGACTCAAGGCGGTGTACAGTCAAGAAAAATATAGATACACAAACATCATAAAATTGCTAATTAAAATTATTATTATAACATAGTTCGGCCCAATTAAATAAAACCCAGAATTAGATAACATTTTAAAAAATCATTCACATGTTCATATATTTAGCCCCGCCTGTTGGACCATCAGGGTCTTGAGGGCACAGCGGAAAGCACGGAGATCAGGGATATTCCGTACCTCCGGGGGCAGTTCATTCCAAAGGGTTGGAGCCCTCACAGAGAAGGCCCTCCCCCTGGGAGTCGCCAGTCGGCATAATTTGACTGACGGTACCCTGAGTAGTCCCTCCCTGTGAGAACAAACTGGTCGGTGGGAGGCTATTGGTGGCAAAAGACGGTCTCGTACGTACCCAGGTCCTAAGCCATGGAGCGCTTTAAAGGTGATAACTAACACCTTGAATCGCTCCCGGAAGATCACCGGGAGCCAGTGCAGCTCGCGTAGGAGAGGTGTTACATGGGCGTAACGAGCTGCGCCCATAATCACCCGCGCGGCTACATTCTGGACCAGTTGGAGCCTCCGGGTGCTTTTCAAGGGGAGCCCCATGTAGAGATTATATATGTATAGTTTTTTATTTATTTTATTTTAGTATAAATAATCCATTTTCCATTAAACAGGGTATCATCTGGGAACCAATGTTTGTGCAATAACAATTAAAATTTGCAATCATATTCATTATTTAATCTATTCTTAACTCAATACCAATACATTAAATATCGAATACTTTACATCCTCTTCTTAATTTGCTTAATTCTATTAACTATTTTCTATATTTTACTCAACTTTTATGATGAGTAAAATATACTTTTATTGCTAACTTTTATATTCGTCCTCTAACCACTGATAAAATGTTTCCCATGTCGCATAGTAACCAGTTTGTTCTTTCTCTTTAATTGCCAGTGTTAAATCTATTCATTTCTGTACATTCTAATGTTTTCCTTATCATATTCTCATCTGTAGGAATCTCTTCACTTTTCCAATTTTGTGCAAATACAATTCTAGCTGCGGTTATTACATGAATAACCAAATATACATTTTCTTTACCATAAGTTTCTGGTAAGATCCCCAACAGAAATACTTCAGGTTTCAGATCAATATGTTGTTGTATCATCTTTTCCAACCACGTCCATATTTTTATCCAATATTTTCTAGCTTCTACACATATCTACCGCATATGTTAAAAGATGCTAAATTATATGGTTTTTATAAGGAGTTGACAGAATTAGATAAGATACGAACAGAAACAGAAGAGAGGATGATTTGAAAAAAACTATATAGCTATTTACTGAGTATTAAATTAGAAGAAGAACAAGTGAAGGAAACAATGATAGCCTGGGCAAAAAACTTTGGTTATACGATAGAACAAAATGGCAGCAATTATGGGATAGAAATTATGTTTGTAACTTCTGAAAGGGCCTTAAGAATGCATGTTTGGGCTGGAGGTGGAGCTGTCCAGAATGGAAAAAGAAGAGGAAGAAAAATAGAAGAAGATAATCTTTGTAGATCAGGGTTGAATTATTTATTATTTATTATTATTATTTTATTAAATTTCTATACCGCCCTTCTCCCGAAGGACTCAGGGCAGTGAACAGCCACAGGATAAAAGACATAAATACAAAAATTTAAAATAAATTAAAAACGAATTAAATAATTTGGCTGAATTTAAAATACTCCATGATTTAAAAACAAATTAAAATTTACATTTAAAAAGGGGAGAAGATTTAGGCCAGACCAGCTTGATGAAATAAGAAAGTCTTGAGCGCGCGACGGAAGGTGCGCAGATCCGGGATCCTCTGTATCTCCGGGGGGAGCTCGTTCCAGATCGTAGGTGCCCCCACAGAAAAGGCTTTCCCCCTGGGGGCCGCCAGTCGACATTGTTTTGCCGACGGCACCCGGAGGAGCCCCTCTCTATGGGAGCGTACTGGCCGGTGGGAGGCTATTGGTGGTAGCTGGCGGTCCCGTAGATAACCAGGTCCTAAGCCATGGGGTCTTTTGTGACCCCATGAATTGTGGGGTCCTTGGTGATCTCTGAGCCTGGTGGTTTTCTTGCGAGATGTTTCATTAACCACAATAGTGAACATCATCAGATGTTAGAAGGGAGAGGGGTTTGTGGAGAGAAGGGAAGGAGGAGGAGGAGTGTGGGGCCCTTGGTGCTCCCTGAGCTTGGTGGTTTTCTTGCAGGCATTTCATGACCCAACTAGGTAACATCATCAGTGCTAGGAGGGAGTGGGGTTTGCAGAGTGGAGGAGGAGATGGGAGGAGGAGGAAGAGGAGGACTGTGTGGGGGCCCTTCGTGCTCCCTGAATTTGATGGTTTTCTTGCAGACGTTTCATGACCCAACTAGGTAACATCATCATTGCTGTAGGGAGGAGGATTGTGAAGTGGAGGAAGAGAAGAGGAGGATGACTGTGGGATCCTTGGTGCTCCCTGAGTTTGATGGTTTTCTTGTAGGCGTTTCATGACCAAACCAGGTTACCACGCACCGGTGATGTTACCTGGTTCGGTCATGAAACAAATGTCTGCAAGAAAACCACCGAGCTCAGGGAGCACCAAGGACCCCACATAGGAGGAAAATTGCCAGTCATGTTGCTTGTTCACCTCTTACACATACCACAGGCCTCCGTTTGACCTCTTCTGCCCTCAAAAGTTAAGAAAGAAGCTCTTGGAGCTTCAACCCCTCCAAGACTGAGTGGCTATGGTTCCTGGCGTCCCAGTTTAGCCAGCTGGCTCCATCGCTGACTATTGGGGGCGAGTCATTGGTCCCCATGGAGAGGGCTCGTAACTTGGGTGTCCTCCTGGATGCACGGCTGTCTTTAGAAGATCATGTGACGGCTATGGCCAGGGGGGCTTTTTATCAGGTTCGCCTGATCCGCCAGTTGCGTCCCTTTCTGGACCGGATGCCTTGCGCACAGTCATTCACGCCCTCGTCACTTCCCGTCTGGACTACTGTAATGGTCTCTACATGGGGCTCCCCTTGAAGAGCACTCGGAGGCTCCAACTGGTCCAGAATGCGGCCACGCGGGTGATTATGGGAGCGACTCGGCGCACCCATGTAATACCGCTCCTGCGCGAGCTGCACTGGCTCCCAGTGGTCTTCCGGGTGTGATTCAAGGTGCTGGTTACCATCTTTAAAGCGCTCCATGGCTTAGGACCTGGGTACTTACGAGATCGCCTTCTATCACCGATAGCCTCCCGCCTGCCAGTTCGCTCCCACAGAGAGCGACTCCTCAGGGTGCCGTCGGTCAAACAATGCCGACTGGCGACCCCCAGGGGAAGAGCCTTCTCTGTTGGGGCACCTGCCTTCTGGAACGAATTGCCCCCGGAGATACGTATGATCCCTGACCTACGTACCTTTCGCCGGGCCCTCAAGACGCTATTATTTCATCAAGCTGGGCTGGCCTAAATACTAAATTTTAACGGGTTGTTTTTGTTTTTAACACGTAGTGGCCAGATTATTTAATATGTTTTTTTAAACTGGTTTTTTAAACTTTTATATATTTGTTGGTTTTATTTTTTGGCTGTGCACCGCCCTGAGTCCTTCGGGAGAAGGGCGATATAAAAATTAATTAATTAAATACATAATAAATAAATAAATAAATAAATAAATAAATAAATAAATAAATAAATAAGATGGGCAGTTGATACCTTGTGGTTTAACCTGCTGTTGTGTCATCGGGTCCGTTGCTCCATTGTCCTTTGTGTTGCAATGCAGCCATTGGCACCTCTTGCATCAGGTTACATTGGGTTTTCCCCTTTGAGAAGGTCTTGAGTAACGAGGGGTGGTGAGGCTGGGAACTGCCAATATATATATATATATATATGATATGTGGCAACGTAACCCATATTTACAGTATGTCTAGTCCTCATTCATCCTGTGGGTTGATTTTGCTGGAACGGTTTCAGAGCAGGTTTGGGATGCTTCCAAAGTAAGGTTAGAAGTTAGAAGTTTAGCGTTTTCACACTGAATTCAGAGTCATGCCATACAACACCTCTCCTGCGTGAGCTGCACTGGCTCCCAGTGGTCTTCCGGGTGCGCTTCAAGGTGTTGGTTACCACCTTTAAAGCGCTCCATTTATTTATTTATTTATTTATTTAATTTTTTATACCGCCCTTCTCCCGAAGGACTCAGGGCGGTGAACAGTCAAAATAAACATATATATAAAAATGTGAATAGAAGCAATAAATAATAATTAAGTCAATTTGGCTTCTCAGTTAAGTTAAGATCTTCAGAATAAAATTTACGCAATTAGAAAAAGGAAAGAAAAAATTAATTATGCCAGCCCGGCTTGGTGAAA